GACACCATCATGTAATGCTCTTCTTAGCAAAAATTAACACCTCATGATGTTAAAGAAATAGTCACTTCATTATGATGATTACAATGGTCTCAGTTATTTTTTATAATGTATTTATCAACACCAAAACACTGAATTGTTTGTTTCAATAATTATGAATTTTGTTTGTTTTGTTGATATGGCATTAGCATTGTAAAACTGTAATGGTTAACATTTATAATAAATAACATGGTTTTGTTCAAAGTTGTTCCTATCTAACATATAATACTGCTTAAAGTTAATAATTATAATAAATGTTTGCAACTGTCTTATAATTCAGAAGACCATGTGTTTCAATATGAACCATACCTGAATGGGAATGGTTTTCACTGACATGAATCACTGTCCTGAATGTCACTGTGAATCATTTTAATTACTTCACAGAAAAATCATATTCGTAAGGTCTTTTCATTTATAAATTATGTTCTCATCATTGAGAATTTGCTCATTTTAGTTTTTGCCCCTTCAAATACATAAAAGAAAGTTTTCTTCAGGCATTGAATTTTTGGAAACCTCTTATCTGATCTATATACGATCAGATGTAATATCCTTTTCTCTGAATAAAAGACCTGCAGATCAAATTCTATTGTGTGAATATTTTTCATTCTCATTATTTGTGTAACATCATTCTTTTGTACACTCAGATAAATATACTGCTAGTTCATAATTGAATGTGTGTGTAAATATTAAATATTATAAGAATTGGATTTTCTTATTTATAGTTTCTCTCTTTCAGGGTTCTCCAGTTGCTGCAGTATGTGTTGACCCATCTGGTCGTCTACTTGTTTCTGGGCATGAAGACTCCTCTTGTGTATTATATGATATTCGAGGTGGCCGTAATGTCCAATGCTTCAAACCTCATTCAGCAGATGTGCGTTCTATACGCTTTTCTCCTAGTGCTTATTACCTGCTCACTGGAGGTTATGATAACAAGTTGGTTTTAACTGATCTGCAAGGTATGTATTTCATTATTTTATTAAAAAGTTTCCATTGTTTGAATCAGTCGATGCTGAGCAATCAGGGCAGCTCTCAAATTTATTAGTTCATTAATAAGTAAATAATACTTTGAATTTCTTGCCAAAGAGTTCTATATTTAATTATGTTATTGATTCATTTTCAAGAGCTTATACACAAATCTCCCTCTGATCAAAGATGTTAAAAATGGTCAAATATTGAGTTTTATAGTAAAAATAAATAATGAGTAAAGAGTAAGAAAAAAATATAAGTTACCATTTTGTTTATAAGAATAATTTAATTAGTGAATTTTTGTTTAAGAGTAATACTAATTACAGAAGAAAAAGCTTTATATTGATGATAATTCTAATATTTCTTATCAATTCCAAACAATAACAAAAGTTTTCCAAAGTTATAAAGTTGTACCAAAAATATACGTTAATTAATATTTCTTATATGAGAGGGCTAGTTTTAAACCCAGTTTCTAGCTATATTTACTATTTTCTCAATGATCCCTCCTTAGTTTTTGAAGAATAGTTATACTTACTAAATCAAAGGCGTGCGCACAGTGGGCAGGCAAGAAGTGGTGACTCCCTAAAAGGTGTGAGTGGGGGCCCTGTTGTCCTACATAATAAAATATTTTATTTCCTAAATATGATCAAATCCTGATTTCCCCATTTTTTAAGCAGCCAATTTGGGGAATTGAAACGTGAGACTTTGGAGAGAGGCTCTCTAAACCTTCTGGCAACCCTGTAATTTGTTCAAAATAATACTAATTGTATTTTATTAATTATATCATTAAAATTATTTCATGCTCCTTGTATTATATGTTATGTATTTTCTGGCAAAAAATCATTTGTAAATAAAAAGGGGTAATAGAAAAGGGCGCTCAGTGAGGAATAGAGGCCCCAGATATGCAGTTGGTTGGCCTCGCCATGTGTTTTACACTGTGCATGTCAGTGTACAAGATTATACATAAAAAGAAATGAATAGTTCAAATTTTGAAGAAAAAAAAAAAGAGATTAGTGAATTCTGATGAAAATATGAGAGGAAAGTGAGGGTAGTAGAAATGCTTAATAGACTAATACAAATTGATTTATACCTTTTTGTAAAGAGCAGAAAGTGTCATTTGTTCATTAAAAAAATTTATTTAATGTGAACCTGATGCTGAGAAAATGGATTTTTTCCCATCTGTCTGTAGTATTTAATTCACACTTTTACAAATTTGGAGGATAGTGATAATCCAATTTTTTTGGGTTCTTGATACTGAAATTTTGTTTTCTTGATAAAACATCTGCCAATTCCCATGATTATCTAACTGGAGCAACACTAGCATCTAAACATTTCATAGGATTTTTCTCAAAATTAATAGTTAATTAATTCTCCCAGCAATATGCCCAGGGACAAGGCCCTGTGAATTTGTAACAAAAGTTTTAATTTCCAGAGGTAGAAGCATCTGAGACATTTTCAAAATTTTCTCAAAAGTGGCTGCAACTTTTTTTCCTTACACTTTTTGCTAGAATAGAGGGAAATACAGTTATAAAAATTGCATAGGTCCAAGTTACATTGAAATCTCTGAATTTTCAAAAATTGAAAGTTTAATTTTCTTTGACCCCTGTACACAAGTACAGTAGTAAAGACATCTTTTCTGAATGAATTTTGTTCTTCATTCTTAAACATTTAATAAATATCCAGTATTTTTTTATGAAAATATAAGTCAATAGGAGTTTTTCCATAATTATAAATCAATAGGAACAATTAAAAAAAAATACATAGACATGTTGTTCTCAAAAGAGCTACAAGTTTTTTCTTTAAGCTTTTTGTGCGGATTGAACACACTGCACTGAATCACATGACATATGCACAATTTTTATTAATATTAATTATTAATATTTAATGCATTTGCAAATACAAATCCTTTAAATAAAGATTCTTGAAATCTCCAATTGTGAAGTTTAAATGAACTCAAAATTTACAAAATTCTCAGAAACACTAAAACTTTTTCTCAAAAATAGCTACAATTTTTCCCTGAAAATTTCCGTATATAAATAGGTTTTGCTCTTTTGTGATATACTCAAAATCTCATTTTAATGAAATTATTAGGGAACCGACAAATTAAGAAAAAGAATTTTTTTTAATGAAATGCAATTTCTTCGATATAAATATTACAGAAAAGGAAACTAAACCATTTTGTTGATTAAGATGATCTGTAAATATTTTATTCTTCAACCTTTTCTGTAAAGTTATTTAACAGTGAGAAAATTGTTTTTTGAAAATAAAATAAGTTGAAATTGTGAAAACTAAATCATATTTGTTGGCATTGTTGCTAATACAGGGAGAGGTATTGAACGTCATAGAGGTAAAAATATTGAAATCAAACTTGTAAAGAACATGATTGCTCATGTCTGCAACAAAAAAATAAAGTTTAATTATCATCTTTATGTCCTATTTCAAGCCATTTGATAAAAGAGATTAGCACAGGATACCTGATGTCCAAAGCTTGTTAAACAGTCATTATTGTACTCTTACTAATAGGATGGTAACGTCAGCCTTCTTCATGGCACAGGAGGGGAGGGGGGTCTAGGACATATGATAACAAAGCTGTGAAGTCAAATCCCCCACACAGCATATGTGTTTTCAGTTAAGTTTGTTACTTGGGCTACTCTGAGATCTACTCAGCTTGATGTTCAGGGCATGAAGGCGAGCTTTTTACTGGGAATTCTTCCTAGGAGAGCTCTAGGTACCATAGGGAGCCCTCGTAGGTTCCTTTGGTACAGACAGCTGGCAGCTGGGAGGGAGGTGGGAAAAATGGAAAAAGGAATCCCCAAATGAAAATAAAATGTAACTTACTAATACAAGAAAGTCTTTGCCATTCTGAATCACATTTTGTCATTTTTATTTAAACAGTGGAATGGTAAAGTAAGAGATGGTAAAGTTTCTAAATCTGGTTCTGAAACCTTAGTTTCCTTCCTTTCTCTTGTACAAATTCAAAAATTACTTGATTACATTTGCAACTATGTAATCATTGCTAGTCAATTTGAATAGCCGAGATCGCTAAGTGTCATAGCGATCTTGGATCAAAAGATCACGGGCATGAATGTATTTGTGATCGTCTCTTCACCCGTCGTCATCATCCTATCACTTCATTAAAGATGGATTAATAATTCCTGCGCGATCAGGAGGCCTTTGCCCTTAATGGGATGTGCAGTTGGCTAATAAAAACATCAATGCTATATATAACCACTGGGGAAGGAGGTGATTGACAATAATTCTATTTCTTATTAGTGTGTTTTTCATTTATATAATGTCATTTTACCATCAAAATACATATAAAATATTTGTGGATAATTTTATTTGTTTAAATTATCATATCTTTCATGTTGTGCAGGTGTAAGATTTAAAATCAGAAAAGTATGTTTAGTAATAAGTATTATTTTAACTATAGTCAGAGTGTTAAAGTTCTTCTTTCTTTTTCAGGTGACCTGACTATGCCTCTTCCAAGTGTTGTGGTTGCTCAGCATCAGGACAAAGTAATATCAGGACGTTGGCATCCTACTGAATTTTCATTCCTGAGCACAAGTGCTGACAAAACAGCTACTTTATGGGCCTTGCCTCCAGTATGAACAGTTCTCAAAGGTAATGCAACAATTATTTAACATTTTCTTTGTAGCACAAAATTAATATCTTGTAGGTATTGGTTGAATAATGATTTGTGGTAGAACAGTAGAGTAGTTTCTTTTGGTTTAGATGTAATTAACATTTACGTATAATGTTCCTATATTGTTTGTGTTGTCCCAAATTTCACTTGAGACAGTAAAGCTGAGTTTGTGGTATAAATATTCAAATGAGAAACTACAATTTTTCTCTCAGTATTATTTCTGATTTGGTAACTAGTTCTAATCTTGTATCTTCTCTCTGTTCATTGAAGTAGTACATAGTTGCATAGAGGGATTTAAAAAATGTTTGACCATGTAGTTTTCTTTCTAATAGAGTGGTTTTTGTGGTTACAGAAATTCTGGAAGTGGCTGCCTCCTGGGATACATATTTGTTGTTTCCTCTTGTAATGTAGAAAACAGTAAATTATCTGCATCATATTTAATGCACATTTATGAACATGTCAAGAGTCTTGTTCATTTATCATAACTTTAATTCACTAGTTTTAATGTGCATATAATGTGCAGATATATTTGTAATTGTTTCTGATCATGTATTACTACAGTAAAAATGCCTTACATGAAAATTTGCTCTACATTTCTGCTGGACAAGATTATTTCGTACATGTTACATATTGGTATATTTTAATATTTTTACATTCCCATTTTATGCTAAATAACTATAATCGTTTTTGTAAGTTATATTCTTAACTTCTCATAAATTTCATTTTATGGGATGAAATAACTCAAATATATTCTCACTACAGACTGATACTTTAGGTATGAAGAGGTTAGGTGACTACTTTTAATAAAAGTAATAATATCAAAGAAACTCATGAGCTAATTTCTCGTATTCTGTCAGACAACAAAATACTTTTCAATGATGATGATGATGATTTTGTCCGAGGAGCAAGTGGCCATGATTTTGGGTCATTTGATAATTGAACTCAGGTGACATCCTGAAGAACATCTTCAGAAACAATGATGGCAAGAATGTGACTGAAATTTGTTGATAGAATTTGTATGTGTACAATGAGATAATGATCTGAAGCTAATAAGCAAAGAATTATAATATTATCATATTTTTAACTTGATATCTTTGTTGAAGTGGACTTGTGTGCAGGCACATCATATTTTTGACACCAACTAAGCGAACAAGGAGATCATGTTGAATAATGTATTTGTAATGTATTATTTATAATGACGGTTGTGTACAGAAGGCTGTCGGAGTTATTATAGTGGAACAGATATTACCAGAAGCGTTTTGTATAATATTAAAGTTAAAAAATATCTGAAGAAGATACTTGTTAATAGTTGGTGACATTGCTTTAAAGACGCAGTGTTTTGATCCACTACTACCATTTTAAAATTAAAGAGTTAGGAATCATTCATTGATATTGATTGCAGTGATTTGATTTGATTTTTTTTTCTTTTTTCGTGAGTTGTCAAAACAGGATTGCTTATTGGTCATGTTTTTTGTTTTGTTACGTATGTTGTCAGTTGCCCAAAGTATATACTAGTTGTTAACATTATAAATATAAATATTCATTCTCAATTCTACTTTGTAATGAAAGATTGTATATAGATTGGATTCATGATGCTTGTTTTCATGGATGAATGACTCTAATTGTATATTCTGGAAATGAGTGAGATACTCTTTCTGTATCTCATATTATGTATGTTTGCAACTTGTTTTCTGTCATAAAAACAAAGTACATGTACTGTAAATTTGCCAGAAGTCCAGTGCATTTAATTATGAAACATTATTTGTGTTGCCTTTGTGTCCACTGTTACAATTCTGCTATGTGCAGCTGTGATTTAGAATTTATTTCACATTAGTGCTATAACAGAGGCAAGAAGATATGTATTTAAAATATGTACGTACTCTAGATGGTATTCATAGATATGGCTGTATATTTGCTATAATACTCAAAGTGCTGATGCTTCAGTATGTTAGATCCACTGTATTGTATCATTACAATTCTTAATTTGATTGTATGTAGTGACTTCATAAACTTCATGAGAATTCCCTGGACAGGAAGGCAAACATATTGCTCAGCATTGGACAGACTCGCCCTGGTACACTTTATCTTTACCAGTAATTTTGCATGTTACTTTTAAGTGGCATAAATGTAAAGATAATTGTTGCAACCATAAATAATGAAATGTAAATAGCTGATCAACCAAATCTGGATTAAGTTAAATTGAAATTAGATATACAAATTGTTTTGTAATTAACATATTACATAACAGAAAATATATTTAGCTAACATTTGCTGTTGTTTAAAATAGTCAGTTATTTTCCTTTGTTTTGACGTGCATGTGATATGCTAAATATTTTTCATTGGTGATAAAATGCTACTTAAAAGTCACATAATAATGCTTGAAGTCATTAATTTAATTGTAAACAGTAATACTTTGTTCTTATATTTGTTTGGTGATTAATTCTTTGTATAATAAACTAAATATATTTTGAATTTTGTCTTTTTTTTTTTTATAATTGATGAAACTTCAATTTGATTCACCTTCTTAGAAACACTTTCCTTAATTATAAAGCATGTGAGCTGATGAAATCTATTCACCTGACCAACATTTTGCTCTCTCATTCGTGGGAAATTCAAAATTACACTGTGCCACATCAAGAATCTAACAACATCGCTTGTGTCTAATGCTGTTTGATAATATACAAACATAAAGGAGTTCAATTTTTAATCTTCACTTTCAGGAGGATTACATTGTGTGAGGAAAATTCACTATATTCTGGTCGTGTTAGTAAAACCTTTACATGCAATGGTATTATAATTGTATATGTTTGAAAAATTGTATGTTAGAAGCTGGTTTCAAAAGATTTTTTTTGGTTTAGGACAGATAAACGTGTTGGAGGGAGAAAATTGACTGCAAAGGACCATAATGCAAGTGACCATAATGAATTGTAATGCTCACTTAGTATTTAAACAGCAACTTTTTCATAAAGTAACTAGTGGTGCTCCAGAATAGCTCAGACTTTCCTGAATATGTTTCCTGAAAAAATTATTCGGTGTTTTCAATCCCATGTTATTGGTGAATTCATGAAGACCGCATTTGTTAAAATATTTTATTTGTTCCAAAGTTATATGAGTGTATTTAATGTGTTGTTCTTGAGCAGCATGCCTGCTATGTTTTGGAAAACCATCCACTTATAAATAGTTATAAATAAATGATATTAGTGACCTGCAAATGCAAAACTGCTGCTGAACAAAACTATACAAAATAGTTATTCAAATGTCATACCACATTCTTGGCACCTTGATGTTGCATGATGTCATCTGTGTTATAAGCAGTGAAGCACCGAATGAGAATTCAGTCTGTACGTAAAGTATGGAAATGGAAAGAATAATACAGTGAAACCTGACTTAGACGAGACCTGATTGTTCCTTCAAAAGATGTCTGTCTTGGCAGGTTTCCATCTTGCAGGGAGTTGCCAAAAATCCACCATATAATTTAAGTATTGAATTTTTGATAAAATTTGTGTGGAACAATGTAATGAAACTAAAGCATAATTTATCAATGAAAATAATCCAAGAAATAAAAAATTTGACAGCAAAAACAGGGAAAATGTAGGACATAGACAAGGACAAAGTATAAGATGACAAGACTGCCTTCCTGGAATTCCATTGAAGACTGAAGGAAAGTGGTGACATTTTCAGAATTGAACAGCATGCAGGTGACCAACATTAAGGATTCAGAGCGATAGCAACAAAGTAGCACTTGTTGCTACCTCATGAAATCACACCAAAGCATGAGAAAGTCGCAGTTATATAGACGTGAAGTTTGCTAAAGATTCCTTATCAGTAGGCATAAGAGGAAAAATTTGATGTTTACTTTATTTGCCTCAGGACGTGGCCCTTTGCACTAGGCCATTCCAAAGATAGTAGGGGAAATTTAAAAATGAATTTCCTTCTTAGCATGTTAATAATCACTTTACATTCCCTAAAAACCATTCCTTTTCATCCATTCTTTTCCATTCCTTTGTAAGACAGGTTTCCAGATTTTAAAGGTTAATTTCAAATACAAAATCTTCTGTTCTGAGATTTTTTGTTCAGGATGGCAGGTTTACGTCTAAGAGAGGTTTTGCCTTAGACAGGTTTTACTGTACAATAAAATAATTTGCATTTTTTTCAGATAAAATCAAAACTGCTTCAAAGGTTTTGGACTTTTCCCAAGTTTCTGGGTATCTAACAAAACCATAGACTACTGTCACATGCCTGGAAGCTGTGTAGTTTCTTTCAAATTTTGTGCACAAAGGAAATTAATAATACAGATAATGGAAAAAAACAATTTATACTAATATTGGTTAACATTAACATTTACAGTTATTAAAGAACAGTCAACAACTTCCCTTTTGGTAATATTATAATGGAGTTTTGTTTTGTTTAACACTGAATGAAAAAAGAAGAGAAGGGAACAAATTCTTTGTAGCACCATTTCCAGTTTTACCATAAAAATCACTATAACTTGAAAACTGACAATGACTCTCAAGGGGTATCACTCAAACTATATCAAATAAAAATTCAGGCCTTAAATATCACTCAAACGCTATGTTGGCAAAAGTGTTGTGATGGGTGGCTCTTGCAATGTGGTACAAATTAAAACTCAGCAGTGGATGTAAATTACCTCTGTTTTGTTATATCAACACACAATTAAAAAATGAATTCAAACTCATTCAATTACGTCTGCTCATGAAACTGAAACATGTAAGGCTCAGAATTAGTTGGTAATGCTATGTGCACCCATGGGCGTCTTTGGCATGTGGAATTTGGGTGGGAGAAGCATAGTGGATGTGTGAATGTTCATAGAATTTTAATTCATGTAACAACATTTTTTTTATTGATTCATTGAAGATACAAGTGCCCCTGGTAGATTAAAAATTGTCAAGTTACATCGCAGCTCTTCATGAATTCAGTCAATAATTCACTCGGACACTAAACTTCGAAGACAATGGCAGCCAGGGTTAGAGCAGTGGGGGTAAGGACGAATGCAGGGGTAGCCCCACAATCACTATTTGGGGAGTAATATTCTTTACTCACACATATACGACTTTTTGACTAATAAAGCCCGACAAAACTTTTTTGTGTCCACTATGTTATTGTTTCACAATCTGAATATGTAATGCTATAAAAATCTCATTGTCATTCAATTATATTTAAACAATCTTCAGGTAAATATGAAATTTTAATTAAAGAACCAAATGTACTTTAATATATTGGTGCCCCCCTACACACACACACACACACACGCACACCAGAGGTGGTTGTTGAAGACGCATGGGTAGGTGTTGTTTTGCTAATAGAATTGGATTCTTGCTTTTTTTTTCCTTTCTTTGTTGTAGTTGTTGTTGTTTTAATTACTCATTACTCTCATTTTAACCATGATTATTTTTTAAATTCAATATTTATGATTGTAAATTTAAAATTGTAAATTCATTCATTTTGTAAATTATTCATAAGTAATAATCTTTTATTGTTACAAGAACAACAACATTACTGTTACTATAAAATCAATTAAAATATATTTTAATGTAATTTGTCCTATTTATTAAATGAACATTCAAAATAATGGAATAATTTAGTGAAGGAATTCATTGAATGCCTGTTAACGTAAATAGAAAAGGTACATCTCACCCTCAGGGTTAACACTTTCGATCCTAAATATGTATGTGATATATCATCTTCATATTACTGCTATGTCCCATGGATTAGATCATATGTTCTTCTGCATTTATCTTCTTTGTCAGGCTATAAACGTCTCTCAGATCTCGGTACACTCTAAAATGCACTTCTTAATATCACTAAGAAAGTCCCAGCACAATTGTTGAAGTGTGCTTCTATTTGTTGCACGAATTTGAATTTTTCCTGAAATTAGATATTTGTACCTGCAGGCATTTTCACTTACATTCAGAATTCTTCCTTGTCAGTAGTGAGTGCTCATGCTATTAGCAAGTAATGCAGCTGTTTAGAAGCCATATTCAGGTGCTAAATTCACAGTAACTCTCAACATTAAAAATCCAAAAGATTTAAATTATGTATTGGAACTGATTTCTTGTGAGGAGGACGACAATTTTCTTCCTGGACTGTTGACTAGTTTGAACAATAAAAATGATAAAGAAGAGAGATAATGGTGTGAATTTTTCTCTTGGTGTCTTCTCAAAATCAAGAGAATTTTTTTTTTCTTCTTTCATTCTTTTAGATTGGTGGGAAATTGCTGAATAATCTGCATTACCGGTGTGTGAGAAAACCAGTGAAATAAATTTTCCTGTAAAATTAGATTGAATTGAACTAGACTCTTTTCATTATTTTTTAGCCACAGTGCATTTCTAAAAATCAATAGGTGTTGTGGTGCGTTATCATTGGCATTTCTAATGAAATAATTATATGCGTCATCATTGCCAACAATATTATTTATTACAAGAGCTTTCGATGTCTATGCCTTCATCATCATTTACTTATGGTATCCTTCCAGTGTGTCCTCGGTCTCCCTCTTCTTCTTCTTTCAGCAGGGGTCCATTCGACGCCCGTGCACATATCAAAGAAGACATTTTGCATCTACAATATCTCAAATTGTGATCCCTATGATTAGTCTTTAGGTAGTCATTTTTGTGGCTTCCGTACAGCAGACAACTGATGATGATGGCTAAGCCATCGAAAGCTGCTCTTGTAATAAATAATATTGTTGGCAATGACGACGCATATAATTATTTCTCTAAAAATCAAGCCAGAGATAAATAGATATACAAATGAAACTATTTTTGAACAACAAAATATCATAATATAGTGCATCAGTATTGTTGTTGAATGATGTACCCTGTGTTTCCCCAATATTTTTGACATTGATTCTTTCCCAAAAGGTAAAAAAATGGAAACTTGTGTTTTTTGAATTCCATTCTCACCCTTGGCTTATAACCAAATAACAATGAAATATGCATGAACTTGAAGAGATAGTATAAGATGTTATCTGTTTCAGACTGATGTGTACAATAGTAATTTTTAACCTTTTGAATAATAGCTATATTGCTTAGGACCCATGAGTTAACTGTGTAGTGTAATTCTCGGAATCGAATGGGTTAAAAAGTTGGAATTAAATTTGAGCATTTATCTGTGTAAGAGGGCTCAAACCTACAGCAGTAGGTTTATTGTGCAAATTAAACCGATAATGAAAATCGCAAAGCAAAATTTTATTACGACAAAGAATAAATTGTAAAAAACAAAGGTAGGTGTGAGCATACAGACATTTATTTTTATTTATTTTTGCGAATTTATTACAACTTGAAGTCGTTTATCGCATCCTAGTTTCCGTTTGCTACGATCTTTCCAGTCGTTTTCTTGCAGGTTTCTGCCATCCATCGCTTTAGTTTTGGTATCCTTCCAGTGTGGCATCGGCCTCCCTCTTCTTCTTCTTTCAGCAGGGGTCCATTCGACGCACGTGCACATATCAAAGCAGA